GCTCGTTAAGAGCCAGTGGGTGCCTTGTGCAGAGAACCAGGTACAGTTCGCCCACCCACAGCCATGGTGTGCTTTTCACAGAAGAGATGTGGTTTTTTTTTGGGGGGGGTACCAGGGATTGAACTTGGGGGCCCTTCACCACCGGACCACACCTTCAGCCCTATTTTGTGTTTTACTTAGCGACAGGGTCTCACGGAGTTGCTCAGGGCCTCGCTTTTTCGGAGGCTGGCTTTGAACTCACGATCCTCCTGCTTCAGCCTCCCGAGAGCCACTGGGATGACAGGTGTGTGCCATTGTGCCTGGCTACATCAGAGATTTTACTGTGACTTTCAGGAGGAGCCGATGGTGGGGACGAGGCCCTGGGCAGCTCTCTGGGGGAGAAGTCGCTGTGATTTTCAGACCCTTATTTCCCCCTTTGGAAGGTTTCTGGGGGATCCCGTTGGCTAGAAATCGAGGGAAGAGGGCGTTGAGAACCGTCTCCTCTCTTTTAATGGTGTCCACCCAGAGCATGTCTTGTCCCTGGCCGTCATTTGAAGATGTCTGTTGACAGTGGCCAGCCATCGTCTCCACCACTCCACTCTCACTTTCTGACTCACCCTGGGGCTGAAAACCTGTGCCTCGGGGGTGGGAAGTCGTGGTTTAGGCCACCTGTCGGGGCTGAGGGCAGGAACCGCTGATTCTGTACCTGGGGGTGGGCAGAGGCGGATCTCTCGGGATCCCCAAGGCCAGGCGGCCCCGCCCTGCCTCAGGAGGGATGAGACCATCTGATCATCCTGCCGCCTGCTCCCCGATGTCTGCTGGGGTACCAGAGCTGACGGTGACGGGATTGCAGCCACACAAAGCGTGGAGCAGGGGAAATCAAGAACTCCCTCACCTGTCACTTCCTGAGCCAGCCTCCCCAACTTCAAAGCACAGCCCCAGGCCCTGCCACTCTATCCCATCACCCATTCATTCCCTCACTTAGAGCTATCTCAAATTATCTTGACTGTGACATGTTGATTATCTGTTGTCCCCCCTCTTCTCCAGGGGGAAGCTCCTGAGAGCAGGATGCGCTGCAGCCTTCCCAGCAGTGTGCCACCAGCAAAAGGCAGAGCTGGAGGACAGTGACATGTTCTTGGGTGGGGGTGGGGGTGGGGCTACAGGACGAAGGGCAGGCCCCTTTAAATAGAAGCCATTTCAATAAGAAGTGCCATTGGGTGCGCTGGTCAAGGAGGCTGCCCTGTTGCATGAAAGCGAAAATTTTGGAAAAACTTTTTTTTTTTTCTCCTTGGAGAATTGGTGAACATATTTCTGTATATTCTTATAT